TCTACTGAAAGAAGGACTTCTGCTTAAAGGACCTAGCCCTCTAACTTAACAGTGGGCAAACCAAAGACTCTTTATGTGGCAAGGGGGTGGGGTCACAATCAAGATTCCAAGTTCCAAGTTTGAGCTTCAACCCATCTGTCTTCCCAGTGCTAGCTACCTGCCTGAAAGATGTAGTCATGTGACCTCTGTTGTTAACCTGCTCCCAGGAATGCCTGTCAGCAGATCCCCACCACCCTGAGCTACTTCTAGGCCATTCGAAAACCTGAATGTGAGAAGAATATTCTGGATACTTAAGGCTTTTGGATGATTTTTCCCCATGTAGAGAAAGAGCCTTTTCTGCAGGCACTATATGCAGCATCCCTTATGGCCCCAAAACATGGTACCTAGGGGATTCTGGGCAGTTAGCACCTCCTCCTAGACAGGCCCAGGGTGCATGCAGTCTCCCTTGTAAGTACTGTTGCACAGGTGGTTCACTGACTTCTTCGTCTGCCCCTCGACATCCTTCCACGTTCCTACCCCTCAAACCACTGGGATGGCACCCTCACACACACTGAGGCACACCACCTAGGCTGATGAACCCTACAGAGCTTCAAAATGCACAGCCCTCAATGTGAGTGAGATACTCAGGCTCCTCTTCTCCCAAAGCTCAAGTGGAGACAGAAAACTTGTTTCTGTTTGGTCTCTGGGAGAAAGAAAAAAACCCCTGCAAATACCTGGGTAGAAATTTTCATTTTACAATTGTGATATCACCTATGGGAACTGTCCTTCCAACCCTCCCAAATGCATAAACACTTATGTACCCTTGGTAAAGGTAGCTGCATATGTCAACGCAGGTGATGTCTGTCATGACGCTGGGCTCTGGATAATGGGACTTGTCGTCTGGTTCTTCCCATTAGAGTATAAACTCTTCGGAGTAACAAATTACTTCTGGTACTTTCTTTGTCATTCCCCAGTGCCTAATCTGGTGCTGCTCTGTGCGTAGCAGGTGTTCAATAAACACCACCGACAGCTGAGTCCTAGCACTTGTAAATAAGAAAATGCCACATTCACTGTTAAAGGTCTGGTGTTTATTTTTCTAAAAATGTCTTGGATTCTGTGTGTGTGTGTGTGTGTGTGTGTGTGTAGCAGACAGGGATGAATGCCTTGGGATGAAGGCAGAACGGACAATGCACAGGGATGAAAATCACAGAGGCCCACTGGCACACGGGGGCCTGTGGAGCCCCTTCCAGGTGTATTTATATGCACGCATCTATTTTTTTTTTAAAGATTTTATTTATTTATTTGAGAGAGAGAATGAGATAGAGCATGAGAGAGGGGAGGGTCAGAGGGAGAAGCAGACTCACTGCTGAGCAGGGAGCCGGATGTGGGACTCGATCCCGGGACTCCAGGATCATGACCTGAGCCGAAGGCAGTCGCTTAACCAACTGAGCCACCCAGGCGCCCTGCACGCATCTATTTTTAAAGGATGGAGCAACATTCTGATGCAAGACTTGGTGATTTCTGGCGCTTTATCCCCTCCCCCAGCTCAGCTGCAGGGATCACAGGCTCCAGGAGCCTCAGCTCTCAGAAGTGCACAGACGTCGGAACACACAACCTGGACCTCTGGGGAAGCTGACAGAGCTTTTCCTTCCAAAGTATGAACTCCTTCACGAAGCGAGGCGTCCACTCTGGGCTTGCTGACCCGTGACGGGGGCAGCCGCCACCCGACGCTGGTGCCAGAGAGGCCTAACCTCAGAAGACGCCCCGCGGCCCACTGAGGACAGGAGGCACCACATGGCAGAAAGAGCCGCAACGGCCCCAGAGGCGGAGGGTCTGGACACATCGTGTCACCCTCGAGGTGTCCGTCCTGGCCTGAGAGGAGACACAACCCGGGGCCAGGCTCTGCACTGTAATGGGGAGATGGGGTGCCAGGGGGCAGCAGTGAGTGGCCTCCGTCTGCCACACGTCCCCTGCAGCTGGGAGCTCTACAGCGACAACAACCACTCTAGAAAGATGAACCCCTTCCTACGGTTAATTCTTCCAAAACTGTTTGACTCTCTAAGAAATGGCTATAAAAACATCACGTTGCTTCCCTGCTGGACTGCAAAGCGATCAGAACAAGGTAGTTAGGTGACATACCTTGATGATTAAGCACACGAGCTCTGACGTGACAAAGACCCGCGTCTGAGTCCCAGCACGCCCACGCTCTGGCTGTGCGAATTGCGCAGTTTCTGGAACTTTACAAGCCTCAGTTTGCCCATCCGTGAAATGGGTCAAAAACAGCACCTGCCTCACAAGGCACTAAGCGACTTACCTCATCAAACATTTGGACACACAGTAAGCTCTCAGAATTAATGGCAGTTACTAGTGTTGTTCAGTGCTCCTTCCCATTATGTGGGATTCATCTTCCACACAAACACTAGAACACGCAGGACAGTCGTGAGTATGCACAGAAGTGTGGGTACTGGGTTCACACGGCCATGCCCAGATTCTCACTCACTTAATGTGACTCTGCAGAATTCTGGGAGCAATATTAATGGTGGCCCTTGATGGACTGACCACCCAGCATGTACCACGCGCTTCACTAAACGTGTTACATTTGTTGTCACGCTGGATCCTCATGGTGTCAGGAGGCATGGATAACCATCTGCCCCATTCGACAGGCAAGGGAATGGGGCTGACAGAAGCTAAGTGACACACCCCACGGCAAAGCCGTCACGTGGGGACCCACATTGTGACCTCGGCCAGTCTGACATCGGTCCACACTCTTGCTCAACGTGGCACACTGCCTCCTGAGCCTCTTGGTGACCCCATCTCCTGGCTGTTGGCGGGTGTGGAGAAGGCTGGTGCCGATGCACTGGTGGGTCCCAGTGAGCCCAGGAGGGAATGCATGAAGCACTTCCACAGCACAGCTGACCAGACCCGGGTGCTCGGGTGTCAGATCACCCCCACATTTAAAAGCCCCTGAGAGCATCATGCTTTCCGGCACCGTGCAATGATTTTCACTGGGACATCAAGAAAAATCAGATTGTGTGCTAAGACGGGAAACTGAGGGGGGAAACGGGTGACAGATGCAAGGGGCAGAGTCCCCAGTGATGGATCACCAATGGACGCCCTGTGACAGCGTTTCACAGATATGACCCCGCTTTTCAAAGATGGTATACGATTCAAGTCAGGCTGAAGAAACACCAACTCCCGGCACCTCTGGATAGCCTTCCGTGAACCCTCACCTGTTACTCTGACTCGTTCAACATAGCCCAGTTTCTATCAGGTATTGAGACGAAAAAAATCGCTCGGTCCACGCTGTGCCTCTCAGGTCAGAATCCTGGCTTTGGCGTCTTTAGCCAGGTAGCAGTTCAAGGTCCCACGAGTGATCCCATCACATACTTGACAGGGAGAATGGCGATGTGAAGATTATTCAAACACGCGCGCGCCCACAGACAGGCGTGCGCGCACACCAAAACCTGAGGGAAAAGGCCGTTGTGGCCTTCGTGGCAGCAGTCACCCTCGGCCACGGCCCTCGCTGGTGGAGGACGGGGCCACATCACAGCTCCCCCGTTCCAACCTTAGCTCGCTGACCCTGACGCTCGGGCCTGTTTTATTTTGGTCACATCGTATTCTCCAGGCTCCACAAAAACAGCTTTCAAAGTTTCAAAATGAAGCTTATCCGAGGGTGACTGCTTGAAAAACCTTTAAACCAAACTTGACAAGATCTTAAAACAGGCATTTCAGACCGATAGAATCGTAACCATGACCCTTCCACCCAATCTAGCTCTGGCTTTCTGAGCAGGCAGACACCCCCTTTCCTCACGGCCCAGGCTCACCTCCGCCTGCCTGCATATCCGGACACAGGGGACGCCCATCCCTGCGGGTGAGGGTCCCTAGACTTAACGGGTGAAAGTACTGGACGCTCAGTTACGTTTGAATCACAGATTTACCATGAATTAAGTGCCATGCAATATTTAGAGCACATTCATATTAAGAAATTATTTGTTGTTTATCTGAAATTCGGCTTTCACGGAGCATCCCGTGTCTTACTTGCCACGTGCACTGGAGGCTCGGCCCCGGGGACCTGGGACGGGTGGGGGCTGGGCTCACTAGGGCACTCTTGTCCTGGCCCAGGGCCCCCCGCCCACTCTCCCTCCAGCGCTGCTCTAGGAGGCTCCCCGGCCCCCTCTGGCTGTCAGCACCCCACACACCCCGTGGTCTGGCGTCTTCCCTGCTGCACGCGCACCCTTGAAAGAACGCCATGCGATCGTGTCTTATTTCTGGGAAAGGCTGCTCACAGGCTCTGGGGGGCTCCTGACTGGAGCCTGCTTTCACTTTCCTCTTCACCCTCACAGACCCCTCCTGCCCACCGTGCTCAGAGGCCAACACACACATTGGTGTGTGTTCTTCAGTCATAATTTCAAGACCTGCATGAAAGCGAGGGCTGAACCAGCATGCCCACCTTTGCAGCAGGAGACCCCCCAGTCCTGGGCCTGCTCCTATCCCTGGACGCCCTGTCCCCTCACTACTGTGAGCCGCTGCTCAGCGCAATGACACACATTCGAGGAGAACGGGGAAGAAGGAGCCCTTGGCTTCAGGCTTCCAAGTGTGTGCCGGCAGCCAAACGGCCACAGCCATAAAACGCACGGAACAGGGGGAGGTGTGGACAGAACAATAAAGGGGGAGATGAATGACGCCATGATACAATCTGTTTTCATTTCGTGCGGAGAAAATTAATTTTTGAGGACATTTCACTTAACTTGGCAATATTTTGCAGTTTAACCTCGAATGCTTGAAGTTCCTCTCTCTTATCCCCTTTACGCGTAGGCCGGGGAACCCCGTTTTACGACTGGCTGTAAGTCCTGCCTCTCGGCGGATGACCAGCCTTCAGATGACCAGCCTTGCTGCCGCTATTCGGGGCCGCGTGCACTCAGGGAATGAGAGCTACGCAGACCATAACTCTCAGCTCGCCACCTCCCACTGAGACATCCGCTATAACAGTGATTCAACCTCCCAGAGAGCAAACGCGTTACCTTCCAGAGCAAGGCACCGGGGTGGGCTGGTCGACCAGATGAGGCTGTGTAAGCACTCGAGGTGCTCGGCCCCCTCCAGCTTGTATCCAGGGAAGCAGTGGTAGGAGATGACCGTCCCCACGGGGAAGGAGGTCTGCAACTCGGAGATGTTCGCGTAGCCGTTGGAAGAGGTGAGAGGCCTCAGGCAGCCTGTGATGGGGGAAAGAGGAGAGATGGTCACACTCAGTCCCCACTGTGCACCGAGACCTGCGAATCCCTGGCCCCTGCGGGTCCGCCCGCTGCAAACGTGACACAGCCTCTGAGGGCTCGCACCTCGGCCAGACGCCCGCACCCGCTTTCCTGTTCTATTCGTGACGTGGACATTCGGTGTCACACTTACAAACCACACGGAGAGGCCCGGGAGCAGGGAGGAAGTGAGGGAGGGCACAGCTGAAATCAGGGAGCCCCAAGTGCACCACAGAATCACCCAAGGAACTTTGAACAAATGCCATCCCGGCTGCAAGCCCTGGGTCTGTGCGTAGGCTGGGCACCCTGTCTTCATTAAAGATCCCAGGTGATCCTAACATGCTGTTGGGGTGAAAACCACTGAGGTGCCATGCAGGAATCATATACCCCAACTGTTTCGATGGTGGGGAGCCTGGGGGGTTCTCGAGAAGGTGGTGGTGGAAACCCCCTTCCACTGTGTGGACTGTGGGGCAGGCACCTGCCGACCCCGTACGATTCCACATCAAGATCGATTTGTGTTTTAAGTGCAGTTTTTGTGGCTCTCAACCTTGAGGACGACCCAGGGAAAGGGAATCTCAGAACACATCCCACTGGGCCCTCCCATGGGGCTCCCTGGCCAGGTCTGCGCGGAGCCCGAGGACGCCCACGGCAGGCGTGGGACCAGGCGCCAAGAGCCCTCACAGCACACCCAGAATTCTCCATGCCGTCCGCGTCCTCACACTCCTGCTTCCGCAAAACAGAAGAAGCTGCCTCTCCGTCTCAAAGCCCGTGCAGCCCATGGAACATCCCTGGCGGCGCAGAATCCCATTTTGTGAGGCCCCCACGGCAATCCTGGGATTTCCTATCGGCTTCAGCAGTCTCACTGGATGGAATAATGACCCTGCAGAGCTGGGTCTCTGCCCAGGGAGAACTAATTGTGTGTGAAGTAAATAGTGTATAATGGAAACCCTGACTTTCTCTTCCAGTCGCCAAGTACAAATCACATCACGCCCACGGCAACAGATGCCTGAGCTCTGCTCCCGAGCTTACTTACTTCAATGTTACAAGCATTGAAGGGCTTCGTGCTCCGTGGACTGCTCTGGTCGGCGACACGGTACACAGTGTCTGAGTTTTGGGATGACACCAGGGTGAGGCCAGGGAGGCCCTGGCATGCAGAATTTGGGGAGATGCTCCCTCTGGGGCTGACCATGTCCCGGTGCCACAGAGATCCTCAGACCCACCACCCACACCACATTGAGACACATGGCCACATCCTTTCTCCACAGCCTGAAAGGATTTTACGCCTGAGCTGAGCACGGGCAGTGTTTGCGGCAAAAGTGAAACGCTGGGGAGCAAGGGAGGGTGGGAATCAGGAATAAACAGAATCTAGGACTGAGAAAAACAAGACAAGCATATTAACACGAACAACTGAACGTATCAAGCCCCTCAGTGCCGTTAAATTAGTTGGCACAAGGGACGGTGCCTGTGCCTCCTCCTGGGAAGGAGTGTCGCTCCCGGCCGCCCACACGGACGAGCTGGTGTCCCCTAAATTAAAACAAATGGGCCCACAGTGAACAACAGGCATCCGGACGCTGCTTTCCAAAACACAAAGTTCCCACAGAAAATGTGGCCTAGGAACAGCACCCCGCCCGCTCGCCTGCCCCAAAAGGAGTCAGATGGGGTTATCACTCCAGTAGTACATCAGGGAAAGAAAGACACACTCCTCGGTTGGAGACCGCCCGTCTTAAACACAGCAGCAGAAGTCGGGCTTTGACTCAATAGTTTGATGCAATTTCTATTTGCACTTCTAGGCAACAGTGAGCTGGCTCCTCAGGCTCTCACCCCTCCATCTGCAGGTGTGAATAAAAGCCACAGGACGAGACATCAGTCTGACGGCCAGTTATGTCCCCCCTGGGGCTCCAAGGTGTCTGGCCGTCTAAGGCCACCAGATCCCTCAGGCCCCTGCTGTGCCAGGCGGGCGGGAGGCCTGATGAGGGGACACAGGGTCCCGAGGGGGTCCAAGGGGCCAGGTGAGTGAGGGGAAAGCTGCACCTGAGCCCCTGATGAGGACACCACCATCGGACATTTCTTAAGAAATGATTGGGACCAAAAGAGCTCATAAAGAGGTGCACAGTATTTACGAGACCTACAAGGAAGGAACCTCTAGAAAGGACGGGAGAACGGGGGTAAGCGGGAATCATGAAGGCAGAGGTGGCTGGTGTCAGAGGGAGGGTTCTTGGCCCCAGGACAGGAGCAGACCAGTGGTCTGTAAGGTTCACTGAACATTCAGCCCGACCTCAGGTTGCGTGCCGACTCTGTGGAGCATCCCTGGAAGTGCCCCTGAATCACATGTGTCCCTGGAAATGTCATGTGTGGCAGGCCATGCGGCACAGGGGTTTCTGCAGAGAAGTGCACTGGGGAGGAGGCGGTCTGGGCGCCCTCGGTCCTCCCGATCCCCGAGCCTTTGTTTTTGCAAGGGGCCATGACTCTTCAGCCCTCACAGAAGGAAATCATTTATTTCCAACCACGGGGCACAAAGAGCAATATCAGAGCCCACTAGCCGTGACTTCAAGCCCAGTGTTAACATTGTCTCGACTGGAACACGCCTGTGCTCTGGTGCAAACAGCCCTCCCCTAAAGCGTGAATTATGCATTGGCTTCCGAGTCACAGGTCAAAAAATAAAATCGGAATTAATGTGCACACTAGGACTAAATTTCACAAACAGGGCCCTCCACGTTGGCCCAGGCAAATCTTAAAAATGCAAAAGGATTAATATTTACTGTGTGGTTTGGATAAGATCTGAATTTGATTATTTTTCTGCTCCTTGTACATTATACAAAGGGATGACATTAAGAAAAAATAGCCTCTGTAAGATTAGCCTTAAATATATCCTCACTACCACTGAAATGAGCATAAATGCTCTGCTATTTTCATTAAATATACAATAGCTCATCATTGTGCCCACAGCCCGGTTACAAACGCCTATTTCTTAAATGACTTTTGGTTTCTCAGCGTGGAGGAGAATCCAGCATTGCTCAAGAATAAGGGATTCCGGTCTATGCTCTCACAGCGGGCGCGTGGGGCTGGTGGGGACCGCAGGGAGGGCGTGGGGACTCCGAGACCAGAGCTGGCGGGCCCTGCTTCCCTCCACGTCCCGCTGGAGAGACATGCGCATGCTCACGGCTGCGCCCCCACCTTGACAGAGCGGCAGGTTGTCCCACGTCCCGTCACCGCGGCACAGCGAAACCATATTGTACAGGTCCGGGTAGCGGATCTTGAATCCTTCGTGACAGGTGACGATCAGCTTGTCCCCACGTCTGTACGTCTTGTTATGAATCTCAGCGTCGTCAATTTGAGGGATACGGCAATCTGCAATTGTGTAAAAAGGACACGTTATTTTTTTAATTTAAGCTGGTTGTGCTTCACAGCGTGGCAAGAAAGCTCTTATTTTCAGACCTGGCCTCAGGCTACCCTGTGATAAACGATCCTCACTCACTGCTAGGCTCGGATCCCGAGGGCGAGTGGCAGAACCCGCTTCACCGGGACAGAGGGAGGGGGTACCCAGATCCAGCCACGAAAGGAACTTTACCTCCTGCCTGCGACCCTTCCCACCATGCTGTCGAGCCTCGGGCGATTTTGGAAATAAGTGAAGAAGGACAAGAGTTGGGGCTCACAATGTCCCCACCCGCCCGGCCCACCACGTCTGCCTTGGGGCATGAGATAGAAAGGCCTTGCAGAACAGAGCGGGCTGAGCTGGGGCCACATCTGCTAGCACTTCCCTCTGACCTGATCCAGTCTGCACAGGTAAAAACGCAGCAGCACGTGCGGCTGCCAACACCACACAGGCTCCCAGCGGGCAGGGTCGGGGCAGGATGCAGACTCGGGGGGGGAGGCGGCCGGCCGGGCGCTGGGGGCAGAGGAACAAGGAGTCCACACAGCTGATGATTAAAAGATAAAATCAAGTGGATAAATTATAGTCCTCCTCTAACACAGTCTCCTCCCAGTTTACCGTGCATCCCCCCACCCTGTGCCACCAGCCCGGGCCCTGCTCCCTCTGCCCACCTCTCACGGCACACCTCGGTCCCAAGTCTCTGACTTTATGTGGAAGCAGAAGCTACTTATTTCCACTGCTGGAGTCCGGTGGGCCCTGCCTTACAGATGGGTTGTGCTCCAAGCTTCTCGATTTTTAAAAATAAGGCAAGATCCAAGAACAGCGTTTTGACAATCACAGAAACTTTCTCCAGAAATTTCTCAATGCTCTAAAAGACTGTGGGTTTCTCAGCCACCCCGAAAGCCTTCTGAATCCACCATATGGTTGAAATGGTCTCAATAGGAGCCTTGACCTTGGGGTTCCCCTAAGCTTGAACTGTCGGCTCTGAGGCCTGAGCCTGGGAGTCCTGAAGCCTCAGAGGGAAGACACAGGGCCAGCCCGTGGCCGGGAACACAGGCGGCTTTAAAAAAGCACGTCCCGGGGGCTTTGATATGGGGTTGGGGAATCTGACAACAGACTCTAGAAAACAGAATGTCAGCGATGGGGCAGCCCGGCGCCGAAGGGAGAGCACAGGGATGCGGCCATCTACGGCCTCCCGGGGTCTTTCAAAGTCAAGTCTTGGGGGCAGCGTCTGCCTGCGTCTCCGCGTCAGCTCAAGAGGGATGGCGCCGCCCGTGTTCTCCCACGTGCCCTCCGCACTCCCAGAACCCACGCACGGCTGGCAAAGAGGAAATGCTGAGGAAGTGGGACCCCGGAGCCCCGGGACTCCCCCAGTCCGTCCCTCTGCCTGTGGATTTCAGCAGGAAGCGACCTTGCTGGAAAACTCTTCTGGTTCTGGTTTGATGCTCGTTTTTGAGCTTCAGGCTGTGGAAAGGGGCTTCCAACTGCTCACGTTTAACCAATAATTTTTCTACCAGAATAGACAAATTCCCCCCAAATAGATGCCAGAATGATCCTGACCAGAGTCACGAGGTGAGCGACAACTCTGCACGGTATTGCTACCTTCTTAATGGGAAACGTGAATTACCTTTTTCAGTATTGCTATGCAGGAATTATTTGCAGCAAAGACTACGTCACCGTTCCCTGACTGACTTCAGACTTGTCCAGGAACTGACCCAGGTCCTCAGGAGGCAGCCAGCATCAGGGAGTAAAGTCAGTGGACAGGAGTGACGCCGGGGCCCGCGGGTTGCGGTCAGTCACATGGAGCGCCCTGAACTCCTGACCAGACGCCTGTGTCCACAGGCAGGAGCTGGGGGCCACCGCAGGGCACGTGGCACAAGGTCCCAGGGCACTATGGCCTCCCAAGCTCTGCTCACGGCAGAGTCACCACGGGAACCAGCCCCTGCAGGACAGGGACACACACTGAGCGGGGAGCGGGAGCCACCCCCCCCCCCAGAGCCGGGCTAAGATTCTACCCACAGCGTCTGGCACCTGACCCCCCACCGAAGGAGGGCGGATCGGAAGACAGCCTGGCCCAGCCAGCTGTCCGTAGCTGGACGTGACTACGCACCTCATTTCTACGGAGGCAGAGAAGCCAAGCTCTTTAGTGCCCGAAAATGAATACATAATCTTCATCAGGTGTGAGGTTTCAAACAGAAATAACACAAATTTTCTATAGCACAAGTGCATCCCATTGGCAGAAAGAATGTTTAAAAACCACTGCAAAAACACTGTTACCAAGGACGATGAATAAAGGTCTGTTGGTATCTGACCGTGCCGGGAGTGGGGCCAGCGATCAAACCCTACGTAGACGGGCGCAAATGGGCACTTTGGGGATGTAACTGAGGGATCGCAAAGCCTCCCCTTCTAGAAATCCTCTCCCCAGCCCACCCCATCGCTGCGTCCAACTCCTGCTTGTGTAACACGGGATTTAATATAAATAAACGAAAGAGGGGATATTAAGGCAGTATTACACATTTATACCTAAGGACAAATTAATCGATCACATTAGTTAGCACAGAGCAGGATCCTAAGGAGCAGAAAAGGCAAAGTTTTAAGAATACAAACACACACGAGATTTACTGTCCTTTTTAAATGTCAGTTATATGTGAACATGAATCTGATTCCTTCGAGTGCCAACTTCTGACACCCATTCTCCCTAAAAAGTGTTTCTGGGAACGTGCGTACATAGTACACAGTGGATACGCAGCATTCATGTCCATGTGGGAAAGGCGCTGGAAGGCTGCTGGATTTTGGTTACACCAGCATTTATAACGCTCGGTATTCATTCATCCATCAGTTTCATTCATGCTTCCATCCGTCCGTCCGTCTGTCCACCCGTCCGCCTACCCGTCCATCGGTGAATCCCTGAGCACCCAGCCTACCTGCAACGCGTCCCAGGTGCTGGGCACAGAGTTAGGAATCATGCTCTTGCTGCACCCGCGTGGAGAAGGACCACGAACAAGTTAGCAGATGCGTAAGCTAGAGACTAACACGCCGTGATCACCGCTCTGATGAACAGGTGCCAAGGTCACAGAGACCGACCAGGGGCCCCTGGAATTCAGGTGGACAGGACGGGCACCCTGAAGAGATGACACTGACGAAGCAGAGCTGCAGAGCAAGGAGCCTCATTGTGCCGATCTGGGAGAAGGAGGCTTCGGGCAGAGGGACCGCAGGGGCAAAGGCTAGGAAAACGTGAGTGTCTGTAAAAACACGCAGGAGGGCCCAGGAGTCTGAGAACCAGTGAGCAAGGGCAGACAAAGGCCTTAGAGACTGGGGCACAGCACATTAGGTAGTTATGGACAGGGCTGGAAAGAGGCTGTGCTTTCGAGAAGCCTTCTGGTTTCGGGGTGATAAAACAACAGAAGGCCTTCATCTCTGGGCAATATTCACGAAGCCTACTTGTTCTCTGCGTCCTGAGATGTTCCTGAGCTTGTCTGGGTTTTAAACATGGAGTGTCTTGGGCCAAAAGTCTTATCAGGGGAGTCGATCTCTGAAGCCAAATAAACTTTTAATTACTGAAACCTGATGGGAACAACAGCTTTTGCATGGGCTGCACGTGAGCAGAAAATATTCATTGACTTTCAAAAACCTTTTTAAAAATTTTTGATTTTCAAGGGAAAGCTTGTTCAATGTAACCTGCCCGATTGCAAAGTTAAAGAGGAAAAACCACACATCTATCGCAGTAAATACAGAGAAGCGTTGTGTCATGCAACACAGACTCCCAACTAAAACACGGAGAAACCCCCTTCCCTAACACACAATGTCTATGCAAATCCCACAGAGTGCGTTCTTGTGAATTGTGACACTGACTGTTGTTAACTGAGGCATAACTGACAAACCACATCCTATTGCTGTCGGGTGTAACCACGGTGATTCCATATTTCAAACTTTTGGACATGGCCACTGGGGAGTCCCCATCTGTCCCCTCCCACCGTGGTCACAGGACCACAGACGGTACTCCCCGCTGGCACGTTCCCTCCTGCGCCTCACCTCACAGTTGCAACCCTCTGGGCGCCCCGACCCGCCCCTCCCACGGTGGCGATCTCCACATTCACGGGTCTGTTTCTCTTTTGTTCGTTTCTTGTTGAGATTTCTCCTGTCACACGTATTCGTCTTTCTTTGTCTTACTTCACCTTAATTCTTTGTACTAACTTTGACTCTTTAAAAAAACACCTTGAAAATGAAGGCAGAGACAGGGCGTGCTCTCAGCCCGGGGCAGCGACCGCCGGCGCTCAGGGACTACTGAATCCAGTGCTTCGAGGACTTCCATAGAGACGAGCTATGCGAAGTCTGAGAACAGTCACCTGTCAGGGTTAGAAGCTCTGTCCTCACCCTCAGGCAGGGGCGGTTTGCAGAGACTGAGCCGTTGCCTTGAAGGCCGCACCTCACCTGCATCAGCCCCGCGGCCGCAGAGACACTCGGCCACCTGCCACCGCCCAGTTAACCTCCGAGCACCATTCTCAACTCAAACGCACCCACGCAGTGTAACCACAAAGAGCAGACACAGCTATGCTTGCCAGACGTAAGCGAAACCTCGCCGCAACGAGAAACCATGGCGTCACCGCGGCAAACACACATCCACCTGCCGACCTGTCATGGCCCTGCTCTGTCTCCCTAAACGGATCCTGCCTGAACAGACGCGACGGTAACTGAGCCGATCTTCTGAGCACCATGCATCTCTGCATCAGCACGCGCAGTTTGGACCTTTACCGCGCTTTCTCAAGCGCCGAGGCAGTGAGTACACGGCTGGTGGGTGGCACGGCAGCGAGAAGCCCGCATGTGCCCTGAGCTGCTCTCCTGCCCTGACAGAAACGGGACGGCCTAGGTTGTAATCGCGGTAGAAGAGAGACACAGTGACCTGTGACGCCAAGCTGCCTTCGCCCCCAGCCCCAGCCTCAGTGCTCTCCCACCAGCATACAGCATTGCCCCAGACGGCGCGGCCGGCGTCCCGGCCCCAGGCTCCTGCGGCTCGTCCCCGCGTCCCGTGAGCGGCTGCCACGGGCAGGGGCAGGCACTTTACCTTCTTGCGCACAGAAGGGCTTATCGCTGGGGATCCAGCCGAGGGTTCCATTAAGATGTCTCACACACAGTCTCTTTGTAGGGCCCTTGAGCGTGAACCCATCTTGGCAGTGAAACTGGGTGACAGAGCTTTCAAGGAAAACCCCTCCGCCGGGCGTCCTGAAGCCATCCTCGGGGACGCCTGGGTCAGTGCACACCTGAAGGTCATCCAACCCTACATTGACAGAGAGAAGAGAAGCTGCCTCTGAATAGGTCCTTCTGATGCTGGGGGCCTTCCTGCGTCGTGACAGACCCCGTCACACACCGTGAGCACCCAGCCACTCCAGCCAGACCAGAACGTACGCATTCTGGCACGTGCCATACCCGGCTTCTTGCTTGGAACAGCGCCCGTTAGCGTCTCTGTCCAAAGGCCAAGTCAGCCCTTCACGGGGGCTCTGGGACAGGGAGGGGAGAAGGAAGCCACACAGGGAACCAAACAGGGCGAGACGCTGCGGGGGGTGAGGCGGGAGGGTCAGGGAGGAGGAGGCAGATTCTGAGCTGCCCTGCAGGACAGATGGACCACATTCCACGGACAGAACCGAGGCTGCAGGTGATGCAGGGCTGGCGTTCCACAGGACGGGCCTGAGCAGCGAACACCCTTCTCCTCTCTGCCCCTCACCTCTGCCCTACCTGCCAGGCCTCATCCAGGCTCCCTGACGGTCTGGGTACCTTCCAAACCCACCCAGCCACCCCCTCTGTGTCCCAACAAGAGCGCAGCTGCCACCGGTGCTCAGCTGGGAGCCGTCCGGGGAAAAATAACCTGTTCATCTCTGTGTCCCACAGAATCCCTCATCACCCTCCATTGCCCCCACCCATGTGCGAGGAATGAACGGAGTCCCAAAGAACCCACCCTCGCCCTTCATCGCCCCCCCCCACGTGCGAGGAACAAGCAGAGTCCCACGGAACCCTCCCTCGCCCTCCATCGCCCCCACACACGTGCGAGGAATGAACGGAGTCCCATGGAACCCGCCGTCGCCCTGGATCACTCCACACACGTGCGAGGAATGAGCGGAGTCCCACGGAACCCGCCGTCTGGAAGCCCCTCCGTGGGGCTGGTCAATGCCAGCCCTCAGTGTCTGGCAGCCTCGAGAGGCCCCAGAGGGCTGGGCTGCGTGCAGGTGGCAGGGGACGGCTGAGGCCCCCAGTGAGTGGACATCAGCCAGCCAGAGGGAGGATGGGCCTGAGGGGACTGGTGGGGCAGAGAGGGGGGACGCGGCGGAGCTCAATCCCGCAAAGGGGTGGCAGGAAGACCGCCGGAAATGCCTCCCGGGCACCAGCTGCTCCAGGATCCGAAGGACGGTTTGTGAAAGGCCGACCCACAGACCCAGGTGCTCTCTGGTGGGTGGGGAAGGGCTGTCCTCCTGAAAAGCTCTCCAAATGGCTCTGAGCAGCCAGTCCAGCTCCTGGGAGGGACAGCAGCTGAGGTCTGTGGATTCTTGAGGCTCCTGCCACAGTCCTGGAGGGAAATGATGGGCCAGACAAGGGGGAGCACTGGACCAGAGAGGTTGCAGGTCATACTAAGGACACAGAGGCTCGAATTCAGGGACCGTGGCCGGGGGGAGGGGAATGAGTTAAGAGAGGCGTCGAGGATGGCTGCCAGGGCCGGGCACCGGGCCTGCATGCAGGGGGAGAGGACATGGTGAAGACCGGCCTGGGGACCCGTCCCGGTGCGGCGGCCGGGTGCGGTGAGTCTGAGTCCTCGGGACACCCAGGCCGGGTGGGGACGACCAGCCAGAGAGCCAAGTCTGAAGCCGCGCTGTCCTGAGCCGCAGGTCTGCACACAGGCGGTAGCTGAAGGCACAGCTGGGCGGCCTCCTGGGAACACACACGGGGAGAGGACCACACATGGCTCAGACAGAGGCAGCCACCAAGGGCGTGAGAACACAGGATGGCCTGAGCAAGGCCGCAGAAGCAAGGGAAGGCGTCTCAGGGGGCAGGGAGGCCGCTGGCTGGAGAGGGAGTGGCCGGGGCGGCTTCGGGGCTGGACGGGCCTGTCGGGGAGCCTGCCCGCCCACGAGTGAGGGGGAGGCCGCAGCAAGTGTGCACTTCCCCTGCACGGTGCCTCGTGGGGACAGAGGATCACAGGGCACAAGCCATCCCTGCGTTAGGGTCAAGGGAGGGACTTTTCTGTTACCGTATTAAAATTTGAGGATGAAAGAGATCTGAACCTGGGTCCACAAAGCAGGGAGAAAGAAAGCCTGCAGATGAGGAGCAGATGGGGAAGCAGGTGTGTGGGTTTGCTCAGTCCTGTGTGAACAGGTACAGAGACCCCAAAACCATTGACAGATGTCCTTTCCCTCGAAGGGTTTGCAAAGTCGTGAAGATGTGAGCCCCGCCCCCCGCCGCCACCCGACAATGAAAGGGCAGCTGGGGCAGCAGGGCGAGTGCCGTGAGCCCCAAGCCAGGGCTCGATGTGAGCCAACCCCCTGCCGCCACCCGACAATGAAAGGGCTGCTGGGGCAGCAGGGCGAGTGCCGTGAGCCCCAGGCCAGGGCTTGGACCAGCCCTGTCGGTGTTCCCATGCCCACATGTGGGGCGGACAGTGAGTGCTGGGGGGCAGGGGGCTCTGGATTCTGGCTCAGATGTGCAGACGTGTGTGTTTCAACCTTGGCAGGGATGCCCTCCCTTCACCCGCCCCAGGACCCTCTCCCTAAGTTAATGCATAAGAAATCAATTTTTGTGTCTCTATTCTGTTTCTTCCTCCAAAGACTCACCCAGCAGTTTACAGAGAAATGGAAACCAGCCCGAGTTCTAAATTGATTTGGCTACATTTGATACAGTCTTCCTTTCTCGAATATGACTTTCCAGTTATAATAAGCCAAAAGATTGCTTTTCACACTGCTTTCATTTTTATGATTCTTTGCAAGACTTCTCGTGTTGCTCACAGAATGGTCTGGTGGGTTTCAACAGACTCTGAAGTCCCCAGACCAGAGGGGTCAAGCCTTCATAATGATGCCCTTCTCTGGGGGGTGAAGACCCTGCATTCCTGTCACCGCCCCTGCTTTCATTTGGAAGGAAGGGGCAAGAGGACATTTGCCTTCCGCCCAGAAGCCAAGTACAAATTACAGTCCTACCCCTGATCTCTCCTGGGGTCACAGACGCGGGAAGGACACTCAGTGCCAGGGGTAGAGATGCCAGGGCCTAGGAGGGCGTCACAGGCCGGTACTCTGGGCCGGGCTTGCAGATCCCAGGCCCCAGGTGCTGCCCCCACCCAGCAGGCTGCTTCCCTGGACTCAGGTCCAGAGAGAAATGGTGTCCCCTGGGGTGCGGGGATGGCTGGCTTTCATGTCTTCACATCTCTAAAGTGCCCGAACAGCTTTAGGAAGACTGCATGCGTCTGGGTTCTCCAGAGAACATAGCCAGGAGGAGAGCTCACTCTCTCTCTCTCTGTCTCACACACACGCACACACACCAAGGACCTGGCTGACACAGGCATGCAGGCTGGGAAGTCTAAGATCCGCTCGGCAAGCTGGAGGCCCAGGGGGCTGCTAGCGTGCACTCCAGCCTGCGTCCGAGTCTGAAGGCGGGAGGAGACTGATGTGCCAGCCTGAGGATGCAGACAGAGAGGAAGAAGTCTGTCTTACTCAACTTTTTGTTCAATTCAGGCCGTCAACAGATTAGATGAGGCCCACCCACATCAGGGAGGGCAGTCTGCTTTACTCAGTCTACTGACCGCAACGGTGACCTCATCCGGAAGCACCCCACAGACCCACCGAGCCTGCTGTGGGACCAGATGTCTGCGCGCCCAGGGCCTGGTCGTGTTGACATGTGAAATGTCTCTTGTATATATGTGCTGTGTTCTGGGTTGGATTTAGGAGAACTGTTAGGGGATAGCCCCTCCCAGGACTTATTAAAATGGGATGTTCCCTTTTCTTTCCACTTCCCCCAAAAGAAACATACTGGAAATCATCCCGTGAACTCTGTTCTCCTCCCTAAGCTGTGGCTGCTGGATTGTAAAGCAGAATTTGGAGCCTGGGAGGGCAGGTTCCCAGGGCCAGACCCTGCGAGCAGGCCAGCTACCCCCAAATGGGTGTGCGTCTGGTAGGCTGATCCCCACGTTACAGAAAACACCAAGAGAACGGCTCTGCAGAGACATGGCCCAGGCTGGGGACTGACCCTCCAGGGTACTTTGAAAAGTGGCATCTAGAGCTCTGGCAAGATGTGGAAAATGACTGTGTTGCTCGATGGGATGAGGTGTCCAGAGTGAAGAATACGCTCCTCTTATACTGCCCCACCTTCTGACTGCTGTCTCTTCACCCTGTCCTTATTCCCTCTCCTGCATCGGTGGCTGGGCCTGGCCAGCAGCATCCTGATGCTCGGGCTGTCCAGGTGCGGAGACGCAGAGCCTAGCCGTGGTCCCTCAGAGGCAGAAAATGTGGACAGGGAAGGAATACGTAAGGCGAGCACAGAGCTGGGTCCCTGAGGAAATTTTTCTGTCCTCACAGCATAGTTTTCCCATTTATTGTGAGAGCAGGAGTCATTCTTCTGTGTGTGAGTCATCCAGGGCTGGATCTCAGGGAGGCTCAGCTCTCACCTGGGTTATCTGTCCTCGCAGAGAGAATGGTTTTCTGCCCGGGGGAGGGGGTGTGACAAGCTGAGGGGTCTGTGCCTGTGATTGGTGGTCAGTGTGGCTCATTTGTTAGTGGGTGTGACTGCCCAAAGAGTCCCTAACCCCCACCTCTGGCCCTACACTGCAGAGGGAGGAGGAGGCGTGTGCAGGTGTGGATGGGAAGAAGGTTGTAAAAAAAAAGGAATTCAGTCCACTCAGGTTGGGAGAAGGGAGGAGGGTGAGAAGGTATAGGAAAGAGCCTGTCTGTGCTCGGGGAGAGTACTTCATGCCTCCCTCATCTGTGGAATCCATCCATCCATCCATCCATCCATCCATCCATCTACCATCCACCCATCTACCATCCATGCCACCCATCCATCCACACACCCATCCATCCACCCATCCATGATCCATCCACCCATACTCCATTTACCCAACTATCTTTCATCCTCCATCCATCCATCATCCATCCATCCATCCATCCATCCACCATCCACCCATCTACCATCCATGCACCCATCCATGATCCATCCACCCATCCATCCACCCATCCTCCATCTACCCAACTATTCTTCATCCTCCATCCATCCATCATCCATCCATCCATCCATCCATCCACCATCCAC